TAAAAATTTTTTTTATTATGAATCTTACTATATTAAAAGGTCATAAAGTCATATCAACCTTCGTTATGACCAAATGATCTATGACAGGTCATAAAGGTCATATAGGTCATTTAAGGTTATAAGCCAACACTAGGGGTAACCGTCTGTAGTTACACAAATTGCAGATCACTTCTAAAATCTTTCTAACCAATCAAAGTTGTCATCACATGTCGATCAGCCAATCACAGTTGATAAAAAAAAATTTTGTGTATTTTTTAAAGCTTTCATACTATATTTCAATAATATCAGTTGAATCCATTTGAATCCAACAACTTTTATATTATATTTCATCTAGCAAAGTTTATACGAGGCATATATAAAAATATACATTGTACGAAGGTTAAACCATCAGATTGTCAAGATTCAGTTCGTTGAACAAAAAAAAAAGCCGAAAGCAATGACTCGAAAAAGGTATAGCATATGTTTTGTAATGTTAGAATATATTTTTATTATATGTTTAGCATCAATATTTAACGATATTTCAATTAATTATATAAATAATAATATGGTGTTTTACTAATTTTCTTTTTATTATATGATTGTTTAGAATATTACAGGAAACGTGTACTTGTATACTTGAGATTTGAGCCTGGTATATTATTTAGAATATATATATGTGTATTGTATATACTAGTAAAATAATGGTTGAATTATAAATGAGAAGTTGGGTTTTAAATTAAACATAGTTCGAATATAGAAACGAAATAAAAAATTTTTTGTAAGCAACAGGTAATTTACATAGTAAACAACAACAATTAATAATTAATTAGATAATTTAATACCTGAAGATAAATATATCTGTCCTTTAATAGTATCTAAGATTTTCATTTTAAATTAAAATATAAATTTTAACTCAAGTTTCGTTCGATTTCATATTGATATTACTCCTAAAATTTGTAATTTTGATTGGCTGATAAATACGTGATACTAATTTTTGATTGGTTGAAGGATCTCGAAAGTGATCTGCAGTTTGTGTAACTGAGAATGGTCGCACTTGAACATAATAACCCCTGTAGATCACTCATAAAAATTTTCTGGCATGTGACTAATCTATTTTACTATGACATGCACTAATTTCTGCGAGATACAATTACGTTGAGGCTAACGTTAAGACTTCGGATTTGGCCAAAAAGGTTTCGATGACCAACACTAATCGACTGATATAGTAAGTTATGATGCTGTAAATTACTACGTATATTACTTGCTATAGTTATGACAAGTTATAGTAGTATGACAACTATTATTGGGATGATTCTATCACATCTCTAATCTATATCAAAAAAGTTATATTTTCATAAAACATGAATACTAAAAACAGATAATCTAGCATATCCTAACATCTCTGGTCCTTAGTAAGCATATCTATAAAATTCAAATTATGATTTACTTTGATGATTTCTTCAACAAACTATTTCTTGACAATGAATCGCCAATAGCATTATTTTCTGTAACCTTTTTATATCTAAGTTTCTATTTATCTACTAATTTAGTGTATTATTAAGTGCCTTCTTCCTCAATAGATCTATCGAACAACTTAATTGGCTAAAAGTTGTGGGAATTGTTTAGGTAGATAAACCTAGAACAATGATTATTCACTTTTTCTATAGAGTTCTCTGATAAGTTAAATTTAAAATTTGAGCAAAATCACTAAAAGAATTACTTAATTAATTATATTTATTTAACGATAATATCTTAAAATATTAAGAAAGCTGAGAACAGTTTAATCAGTGTTATACTAATAGTAGCTAATGTTGGTTATTTTTGTCTGAATATCCTTTCTGAATTTTGTTTATAAATTATATATTTAAGCATTTAAATATTATATACTTAAAATAAAAAATGATCTATATACTATTCACTAGTTTATTTTATTACCAAATAACATATTTATTAGTAAAAATTTTAAGATACTAATCAATAAGTACACTATACTATATTGATAAAAGATTACTAAAGAGTTTGTATTAGTATACTCAAAATCTTAGAATATTAGCCCAGACATCGTAAAGGTCGAGGAAGATAGGATTAGAAAGGGGAGAAGAAGGAATGACAAAGTCATTTGGCATTCTATGATAAATGCATTCAAGTAGAATTTGAATAACACATTGTCCGCGTCGAATGTTAATTGGGATGCCTTCTCGGTTTATAGTTCCAAATTCGTACTAAGCAATAAAAAAACATTAAATTTTATACCAAAAAATTTTTTTTAATCATAAATACAACTTGAGTTTGATAAGAAAAATTTGAGAAGCTGTTTTAGCAAATAATATGAAATAATGCAACATACCATTACAGGATTGAGTGTGCCAGAATCTGTTCGCTTGTCTGTACAATAATACCATGCCTATTAAGGAATAAACATTTCAATGATTGCCAAGTAAATTATGTAGAAATTAAATCTTTTTATCATTACTTACTGTCATCTCTGTTGGAATTGATGCATCTTTTGTATAGTTTAATTTAATTGCAATCGCATCGTGAACCCTATTCGGGAGGAGCCAATAATTTTTTATTTTATTCTTGAGATCTAATTCTTTTTGGGCGTAAGCTACCTCAATTATAAGATTCGGCCATGGTTTATTCTAAAGATATATGTTGTTACTGATGTTAGAGATTCAGCATAATTGCATCAATTAATCAATACTATTGTATCAATGAATAATCAATTGAAATCATTTTATACATTTCCATCATATCCACTGCTAGAAACTGGTGGTTTTCCAGAAGGTCAAAATGATGCATCTGGCTCTTTGCCTGCTTCAAATGTTTTCAATGCTATAAATCAACAATAAGTGATGAAAATATACTTAGAATATGGAAGTGAAAACAAATAAAACAAAAACAAAAACAAAAAACACAAAAACAAAAAAAAAAACAAAAAAACAAAGTAAAACAAAGTAAAACAAAACAAACAAAACAAAACAACAACAAAAAAAAAACTTACTTATTGAACCACAGGGCAAAATATGAGCAGGAGTATCAATCACGGATTTAAACAATAAACCAAATTTAGCCTCAATTGTCCAAATAGAAATCTTATGAAAACCAGAAGGGAATTTGACAACGTGAATGGTACCGCGCTCCCACTTCCAAAAACCTTTTATGTTATATTTATCTGTATTAATAATATACTCGTCCAAGGCAACATTTTCCTTAAGCATGTATAGTAAACTGGTAATAATTAACAACAAATATTAATATTAGTTAATAAAATATTAGTTGTTAAAGTAGATAATACTTACGTTTAGGGTTGTTAATAGAGTACTCCAAGCTATAATAAAATACATAAACTACTCCAGTTTAAAACTGGAGTGGTTTATATGTTTTATTATAGCTTGGAGTACTCCATTAACAACCCTACTTATATTATATCATGCCAATTGGCTTTTGGATAAAAGTTTCCAGGTTTTCATCAATACTGGTGATATTTTTTTAGTCCTTCTATTTCTAAACTATTATTCATTCCACAAGATACAGCTGTTTTAAACAAATATGTAACATTATTAACAGCATAAACACTGATATATAAAAATCCAAATACCTTTTAATAATTGTACTATATACCATAGTATTCTGATTTCTCGTTTCTAATTCAGTGTATTTTATATAAATCTTTGATTGAACAAAGTATATTACGCAATTTTATGACCCAAAGATCCAGTGTTGGCGTAATCAATTGATTTAAAATACTAATACTTTTTAAAAAAACAATGTTTCACCAACAAAAATTCATTGCAAACACTATTAATAGTTTTAGAAAAGCACCACCATTCGCCATATAAAATAATCTATAAATTGATATATATATATTAGTATTGACAAATAGAATAATAGAACAAAAGCTCAATTTTTTGTCTTTATATAAAAAAAATTTTTTATTAATAATTTCAATTATTTAAACATATATTGTTAGAGCATTAGTAAAGAAATATTTTTATATTTAATTAGTAAAATTTAATACTTAAAATTTACAATAGAAAAATAAAAAAAATGAATAGAATTATAAGCCAATAGAAAAACATATAAACGTGACAACTCTGATAAATATATATATGCTTAAAAAGACAAAATATTTCCATTTTTTATAAGAATAAATGTTTATGTTGCCCTGTTATATGACCTTTTTGTCACAGATCATGTGCAATATATAAAAAATATAAGTAGTGATTTTCTATGCTAATCATTGTTTATTTTCTTTTTTTTGTTTTAGCCTGTGTAGACGTTTTACTAACCCTATTTATTTTCCTTTTTTAGACTTATAGATCATGAGTCGTTTTTGGTGTCATCGTTATTGGAGCATTGTTATTCGAATCATTCTTGAATCATTGTTACTGGAATCGTGGTGTTGAAATCATCATTACAGATATTATTCTTAGATCATTGTTAGAGCCTTTTGGAGTCACCATTATTGGAGCTATTGTTACTGGAGTCATGCTACTAGAGTGTCATTAGTAGAATAAAGTCGTGTTACTAGAGTTACTATTA